ATGCCTTCCCAGTCGGCGAAACGGCGTACAGCACCCCGGCTTCTCGGGACACAACTACCTCCGAAATTCATGCTGCCGAAACAGCGTATCCGCACTTGTACGTTGGATGACGATAGCTGGCAGTAACCTAACCAATTTGGCGGGCAAAGTGTTGTCCATGTCGAGGAAGTTCTTGTAACGTCTGACGCGCTCTGACGGTCCCACACCACGGCTTGGTGTTATAACAGTTCATGCAACCCTTGCACAGCGTCCTAATAATCTCCGGTGGTGAGTGGGAGTATTTAGGGATAGGCTAGTGGTGTGAAACGCGAACAAACGGAGGACAAAAGAGGTTTTGACAGGAGAGCCTTGAACCAGTGAACAGCTGAGTGCTATGGTGTAGCGTTCTATTCACCAAGCCACCAGGTATTTACGTATTTACGCCCTCTCTCCCACCGCATCAGTTACCCTCACCCAACGCGCCATCAGCCTCCCAACGTTTTTTTCAATCGTAAACGTTCCAAGCAAATATCCGTCGGCCAATTTTTGACAATAGCAGCGGGCACCCCTCTTTGCTGATCTCGCTCGTCCTCGTTCTTCACACCCACACAGCCAAACAACCGAAAACCCTCAGACTCTTTTAAGGCGGTAGAGATTTGTGCGCCCATCCCACGCTTACACCCCCTTGCGCTTTCGCCCACCCCTATGCAGAACAAGAACAGCAACAGAGACCGACAACATCCCAATCTCGGACGCCGACATCACCGCAGCCTCAGTGTCCCCGACCTGCAGCACCGACAACGCCCGTGGCGACGGCGACAGGAGGCGGACCGACGGCGTACATAGTGGCAAGAGTGGTGGATTCGCAGTCTACCGCACAACTGCCCCGAGCGTATGGCTTCGCCGTGTCCGAAGATGAGGAGCAGAACGGCCCCGTGCATGTAGAATGATGAAGCGGGGGCGATCAACGTCTGGGTGCAGCTGTGGAATCCGCAAGCTTCATGCAGAAACGTGTTGGCAGCGCTGGGGACTTGTGTAGAGCGCCCCGGGCGCCGATGACGACGACATGACGGCAGATGACAGGTGCGGCCGCAGGTTCGCACTGCCTACACGCCTCGGTTGAAATCAGCGATCATGGCACACTGACCGTATCCATTGTACCACCATACCGCTCACCGCTGGTGCGTTAGTGCTGCTGCCAGAGCCCGTTCAGTGAGAGTGCTCTGCCGAGGTCGATCGGGTGGCGAAAATACCACCGCATGAGATGAAAATATTTCGTTTTTCCCGTCGGTATCTCCCTTTCAATATTTTCGTGTCTCCTCTGCTTTCCCTCGCCTCTAGTTTGTTTGTTCCGCCGCCGCCGCCGTGTTTCGGGTGGATTGAATTTGCCTCGTTACGGTCTACATCCTGCTTTTCCAGCCAATCACTTCCGTTCAATACAAACGAGAAAAGGGGGAAACAGGAGTGGAAAGCTGCTGCTGCTGCTGTCGCTGCGAAAGAGAGGTGGGTACCGTAAGGGTCAACGACAACGCACGCCTGCTTGACTCATGTAGCCGCTAAATATTTTCTTCGTGTTTTTTGCGCCCTGCTCAAGTGCGACAACTCTGCCGCCACCACCGTCCGTTCCCGCCGTAAGCAGCGGCCACGTGGTCGGCATCTCCACCCAGCTCGATCAAGAAGGCCTTAGCCTAGGAGATGAAGAAAGTTCCTGCCGGTGTCAAGCATGCGCTTCTCACTCTTGGCCTCAGCGCGCCCCACTCCGGCGACGGCGACAAGCCCGACCGGACCTACGGACGCCCACACTAATCGGTGGGCTGCTCGAAGACCGTCGCCAGGATCAGAGTCAAGAATCGCATCTGCTCTTTGTGTATGCATCGACAGAAGGGATTCATGGACGGTCATGGACTCGTCCGACGTCCAGACTTTGTCCGTGGACACGTGCACGGGGGTGCACGAAAGTCCCCGCAGAGCTGTTCATAGCCGATGGCGTGCTTGTTTCGAGGTTGGCCATCGACCTTTTCTCTGAGAGTTGAGTTACGCGCACTGTACTGCTGTGGACGGGTGTCGTCACCTTCCCTTCGGTGTCCACGGACGTGTCAGTCGACGTGTCCATGGATGGGCAAGGTCTATAGGGAAGGTCGGGACAAAGCAAGAGCCTGCCTGTGCGGGGGATTTGAAAGGCAACCTTGCTTGGCGAAGACGCGCATCTGCTGGGTGCTTTTTTTGGACCATTGCACGTTGGTGATGAGATTGCCGAGCTTGGACAAACTCAACTGTGGACGTAGTTGTGGACATGTCACGCAAAAGGTCGTAACCTAGGGTTCCCTTCCAACTCACGCTGGCATATGTTCTTGAACGCCAGCCATTGGGATGCTTGTGGGTTTGCTGCGGCGGGGTGGAACCTAGCAGTTTCAAGTTACGTAGGATTATCGCGTGTGGATGCCCAACTTCTCACGAAGTAGAATGCCCCGGTCATGACTCTGTGGGACACATGATACTTCAGCCGATAGCTTCCACAATGTGGGTGTGTCAATTTTCCGGAATAAGCAGGGAGCGTGGGTGTAAATAACGGAGATAGGTGCTAAATTGAGCTACCTCCTCCGCAGACAGTCTAACGTGGGACCCGTCAATCGTGTCGCTTACCGGAGGATGTCATGGGGAAATAGCCGCATTCGTGTGAGCACAGTGAAGAGATCGGAAATCATCCTTGACGGACGTTGGGGAGATTGATCCATATTCATGGTCACCTCCACATTACCCACCCACGCCAGGAAGGTACAGAGAGATTTCGAGGCATAGATGGAATAGCCAGGAAAAGACTGTAGCTGTACTGGGGCATAGGAAGTGGGCTGGACAGAATGGCGGGAAGTGATATCGATAGGATAGATAGATGGACTACTGTAGGGAAAGCATTTTTGAGCCATGTTTGGCAAAGTAAGAAGGAACGATCGGCCATCGGTGATCGGTCCTCCTGTGGGAACAATGCTCCGTCCTCTGGAAGACGCGTGGACAATGATCTAAACGCTAAGGCATGCAAAAGTACCCCCCCCCCCCTTCTAGGAACTTTGCAATTGGAACTATGCATATGTATTGTTTGGCAGACAAGGGTTTCATACGACAGGTATAATAACCGGAAGCCGACCGGTCGGCGGCGAGTCGTGTAGCTTGTCTCTTATACTTTGCATGTCGGGACTTGAAGCTGGTCTACCTTAAAGCTGGATCATCATCCGGCGAGATCAGACTCTCTTGGTCCATGCCAATCAAAGCGAACAGAGGGCGTCGTCCTTGACGGGCGTTGTTGCTGATCATTGGGGAGACGGGGCCCTTTTATAGGTCACGTCCACCCTGATTTTATGTGTCTTTGCAAGAAGAGCAGAAACAAACGTGGTGGCGGCTTGCTGTGCTCTCGATTGTCTTTCTAAAAAAACTGTGAGGTGTGCATGACACATCGAGTATTGCTGTGTAACTGGCACGGTCGGGGTGCACATCATTCCCGGACAGTCAAGGTCAAAACCGTTTTCACGAGTCTGGCACGTCGTGACGAAATAAACCACACTACGTCGGGTTGTCTTCCAAAACAAGAGAATTCGTACCGACAACTAACGAACTTTGTTGTTGTTGTTGTGACGATTGTGCCAGATATCTCTATGAATGAATGGCGCCCTGATTGGCCGTTTCCCGCCCATCATCGTATTGTAGTCTGGTAGTTGTTGCCGGCCCTCACGAAAATCATCCTTGCAACAATCGAGGCTCAGATTCTCGAATAATACCACACACTAAAACCTACCGGATACTCCGGAGTTGATCTATATCATCGTAGCTTAGGGAGGGATAGTTAGGCTCCTCTGCCTCGATCAATGAAATGAATATCTTTTCATGGCCTTGCTCAACGATACAGCATTAGACTATTAGGTTACGAGCGGGCCGCCATGCTGTACAACAAGTAGGTGAGTCGGGGTGTATGTATGTATGTACAGCAGTAGTCCGTTTTTTTGTTTCTCATCTGATTCCATCGAATAACGCCGTGTCTCCTATCTACAGACTACTTTACCCGTTCAGTTCTCGCATATCAACTTTCAATTGTTCGCATCATGCATGCATGCGTCGTCTCTACACCATGCAAAACCTTTTGGACATTCTTTCTTCTTCGAAGACTAGAATAGAGAGAGAAAAGTACTCTATAACGACAGTAGGAAGCGTCAAGATTTGTAGACACCGCAGCATCAAAGCTGCAGTTCATTCAGAGTAGTGCGTGGCGCTCAGAAATAACAGGTTGTTGGTCTAGTCTATGGTATGTCAAAACCCTGTTTTTCTATTGCTAGTCTATCCCGGACTACAAGGAGTAATACATGGTCGTGGAAGAGGCGAGGTACTGCAGTATAGTACACCCTCAGTAACACACGTTCTTATATGCATATGAGAAAACAAAAACAGCTGGCAACAGCAGCCAGTCTGCAGTGTCACAAAGGATACGCATCCAAAGGATATTATGGTATCTTCCTAGACATCACAACTAACTTCATGAGCAGAGGAGGTCCGAATGGTTTGTGATGTGACAACAGCAGCAGCAGCGGCACAGCCGCAGCGGCAGCAGCAGCAGCAACGAACACAACCTACCCCGTGGCCGCCTGTGTACGGACGTAAGGGGTACTTGGGTGGGGTACGAGCACAGGGGAGCCAGCACCTCCAACGTCTCTGACATCACATGTACGGTTTGTTTTGTACTGCGATCTTCTGCTGCTGCTAAAATAGGATTCTCCATTAGTCCAACAGCTGGTGAGAGCCGGAACAATATTATTTCCGCCGAATTTTTCGGTTCGTGCGCGCGTGCCCCACTGCAACACCCGCCGCCCCCCCCACACAACCTCTCACTTTTCTCCTTCGTCACCCAACACCACACCACACCTAGCCTCTCACAGGACACCTTCAAGCCCGTGGTCGTGATCGTCTTCCACACCACACCACACCAAGCCTATCACAGGACACCTTCAAGCCCGTGATCGTGATCGTCTCGCCCCACCATGGGAGGAGGCAAGATCGCGGCTGCCCTGGCGGGCACCAGGACGTTCTCCTACCTCCTGCTGGGGTACGCCCTCTTCCACCTCGCCATGCATTTCGGGAAGTGGTACGGGGAGCACTTCGAGGACACGGACGACGGCCTGCAGCACCTGGAGTTCGTGATGCAAGGCGAGGGCACCGACGACGAGCTCAAGATCCGCACCTCCAGGGGCCAGCTGTTCCTGTTCCTGGCCTCGCCGATCATCCTTGCGGCGGCGCTGGGCGGCGTGTACGAAGCGCTGTGGCTGTCACGAGAGGCCAAAGCGGGCGACGCCGCTGAAGCATCCAAGGCAGGCGGCTTCCTCGCCACCATACACAGCATCATGCACTGCCAGTTCAGGCCTCTGGGCTCGTCGTACTTCCCGTGAGTGCCTTTTGCAGAGTGAGAGTAGTGGTGGCAGCAGGGGCGCAAAAGCTGAGCGTGCGATCCAAACCTGCTGTGCCACAAACCTGCGTTTTTTTCTTGAGTTTTGCATGTGCGCGAAATTGCGCGAAAACCTTTTTTTTTTCAGGTTTGTTTGAGGATATCTCCTCTATTTTCAAGTGATTGAAAATTGCAGGTTTGGTGACGAGCGATCTTCTCTGTGGGTGCGCATGCGTAAGCCGGCATACGGAGAAGAATTTAAATAACAAATTGTTGTATCGAGACCAGCTGGAACAAACCCACTGATGATGCGAGTGTTGAATAAGCCCCCCTCGACACAGCGAGAGGTCGGCAGCGGAATCTCCGGGGGGGATTGCCGGCCCTCTAGCACACGCGCGGCCAATCTTTCCCCCCTATCGGCTAGGTATAAGTAATACCACCGCCATGCGTGGCAGGTAGGTGCATTTGCACCCACACAAGCGTTGAACCACACCGGCACTTGCGTGGCGGGGAGACACGTCGACAGGCGCATGATGTATGACCGACGAACCCCGCGATTCCCCGTCCTAGGTGGCTGACGGTAGGAGAGGCCGCCGCCATGTTCCTGTGGATCTGCGTCATGGTATCGGAACTTACGCAAGGTGTGTGTAGTGCGTGTCCTTGACCTGCACTTTTTTCGGGGTAAAAAGTAAAGAGCGGTATTCACACATACATGTGATGTTCCTTAACTTTTTAGACTGCCCTTTTAGGCAAACTATCGCACACAACGCTCCTGCTCTCTAGAAGGACTCAGGTTTTCCCAGGCGGGCAGGGCAAAAGGGTATGTATGTATGCGTCCCCCAGTTACATTCGGCGTAAGCAAGCATGAGAAAGTACAGGAAAACACACACCATACATGCATCCAAGGGGAATTTTTTCCCTCAGGGTCGTGTAAAGTTGTTGTGTTGCAATCAATCTCGTTCTCTTCCCTCTGGCCAGTGTAATGGAGAGCAAGTGCAGTGTATGAGCGTTGGCTGTATATTACTTTATTTGAGAGAGCTACATGTCTACTCTTCTTGTCTTCCTGTGGGAAATATGCCGTCGGTATTGAAGTAGTAGCAGTTGAAGGCGGGATAGGATGCCAGTCCCATCCTCGCGCTCCAGAGCGGATCTGATCAATACTATTTGTACACAGAGCAATGAAATAACAACTCTGCTCGAAGTAAAGCGGCGAACATGCTCCCTCCCCAGTTTCTCCACAACGCAGGACGTTAGAAGCTTGATTTCTGCCCGCCGTAAATGATACCCTTCTCGACATTTCACCGTCTCCTGTGCAACGTCAGCACCCACTTCAAAACATAATTTCTCATATATATGCATATATGGCATACAATAGATAAGTGTCTGCAGTAAGGTCTTACCTCTACCCCCGGTTTCTGTGCCGCCTCGTAGATGTCATGTACGATCTTTTAGCGGCGTCAAGATCCTCAGTCTCTCCCCCCCAATTGCCACAACACGACTCTATTACTGGTCCATCGCAAGCCATGTCGACAATATCCATCCCCTCAACATCAGTTGCAACAGCCCCGCCCCCCCCTCCCCCCTTCATTTATTCTTCTTTCTCTTAGAAGGGAACTACGTGCGTCGTCGGAATTGCGCCAGCACGCCGTTTTTTCTCCTTCAAGAACAGCCGCCCAAAAAAGATGTGCTGGAAGTATTTCGGAAGCAACAGCATCTTGTAGACTATGCATATGCCCCCACACCCATTCGGACCACAGGAAGGAGCGTGTTGCTTTACAACTTCTCAGATGCGTTCGTTCATGCTGGTCACACACACACACATTGAACCACAACGCAAATGCACACACGACAGCCATCACCGTCGGACCCCGGTTTTTCAACTCAAACGAGAGTTTGCCTCCCCATTAGTTTGGTTGGTTGTCTGCGCCTCGCCACGTCACGCGCGCCCCCCCCCCGCCCCCGCCCCCCCCCGTTCGTTCGGCATCATCGCGATCAGGTGTTTTGGCACGCGAACACGGCGAGAGCTACGTGGTTTGCGAGGACGACCCGACAGACTGGTGCAGCTCGCGAGATGGCACGCCTGGGGGACCGACGCCCAACCAATGGATGTACGGCCCCGCCCGATGACCCTAAAAAAAATGCAATAAATGACACCGATTACATCTCGACCGACGAGAGATCCAGAATATATTAGCAATGAATCCATGTAAACGTCAGCGGAAGCGCGCCTTTGCATCGGTTACAGTACCGTGTTGTGTGACTCTTGAAGAGCGTGTATCTCGGAATCATCCCCATGAGTTATCCATAGAAATCCAGACGAGCTTCCCCCGGACATTCACTCCCTATCCAACGGCCCTCAAGTAGACAGCACAAGGTGGTGGTTGGCGCAACGACAGGAGCGTGACGACAAAGCGGAGGTCGAGTTTTTTCAGTCCACGGCAGCCCTATCGCCCGACTCCCGACAAGCTCACCTCTGTCCCACCACTTGAATTCAGATAAAGCCTGTAGTTGATTTTTGAAGACATGAGCGTGTGCGCCTATGGGAATCCTCGTGTGGACGAGAAGCATAGTGTAGACTTCTTCTCATGGACAGCTCACCCTTCTCCAAAAGAATTACAAATTACCATATTTTTCGTTTCTCTTTTCCGATTAACTCTGCTTGCTCTATCTGTGGTCCCACTTCTTGCGCCGTCTTGTCGAGGCGTGAAGAACGTCTAGCAGCGCTTAGCCCTCTCTTGTGTTGGCTTCCGGTTGTGCAGGAACGAACGACTGTCCCCAACACATGCCGTGGCCCTTTTCCCGGTGCTCTCGGCATGCGTCTGTCGTCCGTCGCAAACCTAAATGTTCTGAAGCCCTGCGGCCAAGCCTGCAACCGCAGCAACCCCGGCTCCATACGTAAAATAATGGCACAAACAAGTCATAAGCACACGTCGAACGCACCGCTGTTAACAAACCCCCCCGCCTGTCTCTTCGCACGCGAGCAGGCTGTTCAGGGTGGCCACCTACTTCGGCTACATCTGCTCCTCGCACTTCGCGGTCATCCTCGTCCCCGTGGCCCGCGACAGCAAGATCTGGTCGTCCCTCGGCGTCCCCTACGAGCGGGCCGTGCTCTACCACACCTTCGCCGGCCACCTCGCCTTCACCACCATGGCGGTTCACGCCTTCCTCTTCGTCGTCTACTGGGTGTGGTACGACGGGTGGGCGCACGCCATCCGCGAGTCGATCCACGCCCCGGCGGAGAAGCACCACCACGGGCTCGACATCCCCATGGGGTGGATGGCCCTGCTGTGCGGGCTGCCGATGTGGATCACGTCGATCAACTTCGTTCGGAGGCGCTACTACAGCCTCTTCAAGCTCGCGCACTTCCTGTTCATCGGCGTTTTCGTCTTCGGCGCCATGCACGTGAGACTTTTTTTTTTTTTTTCTCGACGACCGCTTATCATCATATCACGAAGAATGATGTCAGTTGCAGCCACCACGTGTTTCGGAAGAGTAGCAATCTGCTCTACAGCCGGTTTCCCTTTCCCTCCACTCACTGAAAAGACTTCCACCACGTCCCTTTCGACTTATGGGGTTATATCTCGAACGGGTATTATAGTCTTTCTGTGAGATGATGTTTTAATCTTCAAAAAAGAAATCTGCTCTGAACAAAGTCACACCACCTTTACATCCATCCGCGCACGGTGTGGTGCTCCATCTCCCCCCGGAAGACCGTTCAGTATGCTGTCCACGGACTAATAGTCGCCCACCCGCGGTTACCTACGTATGACGCTGGCAACTCCTCCTGGTTTCGTCTCATTCTCCCCCCCCCCCCCCCGGGGGGAAATCTGGGCCCCCGGGTCCTTGGGTGGTGGTTTGGGTTCCCGGGGGTCCGGAAAACGCTCTAATACCCCGGCGGGGTGAACG